AGTTTTCTCTCCACAGGAATGGGAAGCATTGTGCTGAAGTACATCCCAAACCCAAAGTAAGCTTGTAACATGTTTTTAGTGTTTCTGATGTTTGCATTTTGAAGTGAGAGCCTGTTTTTTGTTTGGTTAAACTGTGCGACCCACCGTCGTCCTTTATTTTTCAGTAACCCGGGGGAACCTCAGTGTCCCATCCAGCTGTGTGGCTGGAGGGGAAAGACGTCCATCCGAGCATTCGTCCCCCGCAATGAGAGGTTTCATTACCTCCGAATGTTAGGTGTGGAGGTCTTCAGAGACAAACAGGGCCTCGGGCAGAAACGGAGTGATGGAGAAAAGGACGGAAAGGAGGAAGCAGAGGATGCGGCAGAGAAGGACGAAGAGCAGGAAGAGGAAAGAGCAGCAGACAAAGAGGTGGATTTGGAGAACGGCAATGAAAATGGATCATCAGAATCAAAGACCGACTGTGGTGACAAAGAGACGAGCAGCTGAGAGCGTGAAGGCGATCGTAATGAGAAAGGACTGACTGACGTATCGGAGCTTTAAGAGCTGTTGACCAGGTCCACAACCACACGCTGTGGTACAGGAGGGTAACGCACCGCTACGGGTTCCTCTGCTCACCACACTGCCAGTGCACAAGGATTCCCTCCCAGAGATGCACTCCCGTGGGATTTTTCATTTATTGGAGCCTCTCTAGGAGTCAGCATTTTAGTTAAATGGCTTATGTTATTTTATAAACCTTTTTTTTTGCATTTTAACAAATATATTCCACCAATGAGTGGAACAGATCCATTTCATTCAATTGCTCACATTCAGGTTTCTATTAATTGCTGTTTTATTTTTTACACCTGTAATTAAGCAGAAGTGCGAAGCTGATTAAATGCTTAAAAGGTTCACTGTGTCACTAGTCAAGTGATTTTACTTTAAGATTAATGCGGCTCTGCTGATCTGTACAAGGGTGCTCGAGCAGGGATTGATTAGAAGTAGATGGTGAATGTTGGATATTAAATAAACTCTTGCAGGTAAGTTACTTTCAGTGACATGCTTGTGGTTTCCAGATATCAAAGACAATAAAAATGAACAAGTAACACGTTTCCAGCTGTGGTTGCAGAACGGGCACAGAGGCTGGGGCATAGACTGTAAATAAAAGATGGCCACATCCACCTTGTCGGTTTTAAGGAGCCACATTTGGATTAGAGGCTGATGTGCTAAATTAAATCTGATGCTGGCAAGCTTGGTGATAGCTACACACATTCAGTTATTTTATGGAGTGGAGAAAATAATCTCCCTATATAAAGGTTATATAAGATTAAAAGTTAGGCGGGGGTGGGGTTTCACTCTGGTCCAAAAAGGTTAAAAAAAACAAAGTGTGTGTATGACATGACCAAAAAGCCGCCTGTAGATGTCTCAATGTTATTTGAGAAAAGTATTTAAACACTGATGCATCACAATGCTGAGTTTCAACAACAAGTACACTTCTTAAAGCGAAGGTCAAACACAAAATCAAACCACATTTCAGGCAGCGGTTGCCACGGCGCCTTCACTTCACTGGCTGGCTGGACATTTCCTCCTTATGTTTATTACTCAGTCCAGCTGCCATGACAACAGCTGGCATGACAACCAGCCCCCTTACCTCTGTCTGATAGAACAGAGGGACCACAGAGAGCATCCTGCACTCCTCCGCTTTTCTTGTTTTTTGCTCCAAACTGTCCTTAATCCGTTCTTCCCTTTTTCATCCGTGACCTCTGAAGTGCAGAGCGCTGGGTATTACCTTTCAGGAAAGCAGCTTTCATGTCACTTCCTAAAGCTGTGGGTATGTAATAACAGTGTTTGCAGTGGTAAAAGGGGACAAGTATGGGATAGGAGCTGGTGTTCGATGTTAAGAACTAAACACTGACGCACTCACGTTACTGAGATTGGCAGCCAAAGCGAAACAGTCCCCACAGACATCACCGAACATCAGTGATGGACATGTTTAGCCTTCTACTGGTTATCTGGTACATTGTGGTCCTAAAGGATTGCACGTGTCGGACCATGTTGTTTACGCCAAATTCTTTCAAATGTTGCACCAGAAATTGAGACTCATCAGACCAGGAAATGGTTTTCCAGCTTTCTGTTGTGCAATTTTGGCGAGGCTTAGTAAATTTGGGTCTGGTGGTATTCGGTATGCTCTTCTGCTGCTGTAGCTCATCTGCTTTAAGGTTCAATATATGCAGTCGCAGATGCTCTTCTTCATAAGTCGTTTGAAATGTTTGTTATGAGACACAGAGTTCGTGACAAAACACATATCAGTCCGTGGAAGGTGTGCCGCTTATGTGGAGGAAGCAGGACTGTGGCCAGACACAGGCCGACCAATCCACAAATAATACTTGTATATGAGAAAAGCGCTTTCCACTCCTATTACAAACAGAACGTGATTCTGGTGGGTTTTAAAAGGTGTGAGCATCCTGACAAGATGCTCTACACATCTGTGGATTTTGGTGTGTCTTTAGTGCTTCAGTTGAGGTTAGGAGAGCAACTTCAAAACTGAGTTTATTTTCTTTCTCTCCAAAACTGGTTGGAAAAATTAAACAGGGAGTGAATGGGAGCGCAGGATGGTATTCCCCTGAAACAAATGGCTCTGTTCAAAAAGTATATATAGATATATAGATATATAGATATAGATATAGATATATAGATATAGATATATAGATAGATATAGATAGATATAGATAGAGATATAGATATAGATAGATATAGATAGAGATATAGATAGATATATAGATATATATAGATATAGATATATATAGATATAGATAGATATATATATATATATATAGATAGATATATATATATAGATATATATATATAAGTGAAAGAAGGCAACTGTAGCTACATTTTGAGGCTAAAATAATGGTTGTAGATTTGAGTAAAAATAACAGAAAAAGTAGAAAGTACAATGAAAAAAAAGATGTGTGACATCAGTGTCTGTAGGGTAAGCAGTGTGGGAGAACATCGGCCCAATTTCCCCCCACAGCAGAAAATTGAGAGAGGCTGGTCTCTCTATTCAAAGTCAACCTACCGACAGAAACAGTAGAATATTTCAGGAACTGTACAAACTTTCACAAATCTGAAGAAAAGCACGCAGTGCACGAATGGCAACTGGTGTGAAACTAGTTAGCGGAGGAATAATAATAATAAACAAAATGGCCACCGACAATAATACATATTGGTCGTGTCCAAATTCATGGGCTGCATCCTCCTGAGGACCCGGCCTTCGCGGTCTACGTGGGCCGGGTCCTCAGAAGGTCGGGTAGGC